ATTAATTATATAAAAGAATCATATATATATATGCTTTTCAAACTCAGGAAGGTGAGAAACACTGATTAAGCGTTAAAGAGCAAATCACTAATTTTGCAACGTCACATTACAGATAAACATTCATTTCTCTAAAATAAGCTTACTTTTTTGAAAAACTAATTCTGCAAAGCTGACGAATTGCTTCCAATGGCTTCTCCGTTTTTCCGACACGTCCATAAATTACTCATAGCAAAAATATTGTCAAATTATTGCTCTTATTGCTTCTCTTGTTGTTTTATGGTGAAAGACCTCCAGTTTTTTCGTGTATATTTTCGTTTTCGATGCAAGGGTCTAAGTGTTCGTCGCTAAAGTTGTCTATGAGTACATTAATATGATGATCTGCGTGTTGGTTTGCTTTAAACGACCAATATTTTGGTTGAAGATTTGATTTTAGGAAAAAAGTATGGAAAATAAATTTCTTTCCTCAACTAGACAACATTTTACTGACTGAAATTGACTTATGTGTAAATCGAATCGAATTTTAAATATAATCAAAAAAAAATTTTTTTTCAGCACATTTTAAACCAAAGCACTTTCAAAACATTTACTTCCATTAGTGATAAAACAATTTTTCAAAAACCTGACTATAAATACAATATCCGCTTTATGAGTGAAGCTTGATTAAAGCGGTCTCGATTAGCAGATATTGCTCAAAACTAGCACGTAAACACTGATCTTTTTAATTATTACCATCACGTATACCTACTTATATGGACTACCGATTATGACTTTTAACAAGGAAAAGAGGAAAATATAGAGAGAAAGAGAAAGCTTTAACTATGAAATGACTTTTAGGCAAACCGCAACCAAAAGTTCAGTGGTTTGATGTTACGGGAACGCCAATCACCGATGAAATAACACATTACACGGTTGTTTTTGTGCTGAAGTTCCACTACTTCCTGTTTGTCATAAATAGTTCTTTTTTTTTTTAAAAACCTTAAACTTAAATACATATGCTTTTAACACATAAATCAGCCAAATCTATTTGCCCTTTGTCTCTTGTGGTCTCTTCAGCTGCCTCAGCAGTTAACCTAGAGTTTATAGGTTTCAACCGTCGGAAACCAAACAACACTTATCATTCATGATATACAGGTTCAAGATCGCGGAAATTACGTCCTCAAAGTTTCCAATGAAGTTGGCGAAGATATATGCGAAATTCCAATTCAAGTGAGAATCTCTAGATTGTCTAATCCCTCTTTTTTTCCTCCAGCAAGATTATAGCGTAAAAAGACGATGACATTCATTTACGAAAGTTGTAAAATTATTGCCGGAAGATTAAGCATAAATTTCTATAATCTTTTTTTGCAAATGTGATCTAAAATTTCCGGTATAAGGAACACCTCAAAAAGCATTTGATTTGATCTTTTCAAAGCGACTAAATTGGTATGTCTAGCGGTCAGATCTTTAGAAAGAATACACCATTTAGCTGTAAAAAATGCCCTTACTAGCCTGGACTCATAAATGTTGACGTGATTTGACTAAAATGAGTTCTTATAAGCTTACTAACCGTCATTCTTAAGTGTTCGGTTTCAGGATTAGTCTGTTAGGAGCTTATTTTAGGTGGCAGACCGTCCGATTCCACCAGGTAGGCCAATCGTGCAAGATCAAAATGTTGATTCAGTGCGCCTTCTCTGGGCTACCACAGTACAAGACGGTGGCAATGCTGTCAGAAACTACACTGTCGAAATGAAAAAGGTTCATTCTGTTTGAATAGTTTTAAATTTTACAAGTCAATATTCTATTTAATGTTTTCCACGACATAGTGACAATTTGAAAAACAATTTTTAAATTATTAATTACAAAGATCTGATTGAAAAGTACTCCAGAACTAATCAAGTTCTGTAACGCATATGTTAACAGTACTCCTGCATCCTTTACTAAAAAAAAATTGAATTGTTGGCTGCGTTAGAATCGGTTTCAAGATCGCTTACGAGATCGTTGTGTTCTTGTTGACTACTCTTGGTTTTCAAACGCGTTTAAACTTCAGAACTTTTCAGGAAAGCGCTGATGAGTGGTCTAAAGCGGAAACTACGAAGCAACCATTCACAACACTGTTTAATCTGGTCCCTGGAGAGACCTATCGTTTCCGTGTTCGAGCTAATAACATATTTGGCTCAAGCGAACCGTCTGAAGAATCAGAATCTGTAATTTTAAACTTATGAGAAAGTGGTTTTGTCGAATTGTGTACTGTCAAGAAAACTTAAAAGATAGTCACTGAAAGAATAAGCAGGCAGTGGTAAATGCTTAAATTTTTATTAGGTTTACATTCGTGACATGACCAGAATTGTGACCGAACCGCCGCCTAAAGAACCGTTTGAAGATGAAACCAGCGCAGCACCAGTCGACTACGACCGCCTTGCTACAGAAACTGAGCCTATTGCATACCGGACAATAGATGTTAATAGGTTACCAAACGATCTTCAATCAAAGGTAAAGTTGTTTATAAATTTTTTTGTTATACTTCTTGCTAACAGTGATTATGACGATATGTGGTTTCAGTACATCATAATGGAAGAACTGGGGCGTGGTGCCTACGGAACGGTATATAGGGCAGTTGAAAGAGCTACAGGGAAATCCTGGGCTGCTAAAGTGGTTCAAGTTCGGCCTGGGGTCAAGAAAGAGGCTGTTTTTCACGAAATTCATATGATGAACCAACTACACCATGAAAAACTTTTGAATTTGCATGAAGCTTTCGATCTTGGCAATGAGATGGTTCTAATAGAAGAACTGTAAGTATAATGCCGTTGAAAATTTTAGAAAAAAAAAAAAAGAGAGGAGTGACGAGCAGTAGCAAATAACAGTATTTTTAATTTGCTTCTAAGTATTCACCCTAAAAGATCTTCGTCGCTGTTGATTGGTTGTCCAAGTTACTTTTATAGCGAAGAAAGAATAATGCAAAACTGGAAGTTAAAAGTGATTTTTTTCTTAATATTTTTACGTATTTAGTGTTTCTGGAGGAGAGTTATATGACAAGATAATCGAGAACGATCAATTGATGGCAGAAGAAGAAGTTCGAGACTATATCCACCAAATTTTACTTGGTGTCCAGTATATGCATAAGAACAATATTGTTCATCTAGATTTAAAGGTTCACAATGCTTTAATTACTAAAATTTATAAAATTTTTAATAGCAACAAAGTTTTATTGGTAAATTGTAATTGTTGAAAAGATATTACAAGTTGAAGTAGGTGACAGTAATATATGTATCAACTAAATCTTATTACAGAGTATTACTTCAGAAATCAGAAAAAAGTGTATTATTATCAGGTATTTTCAACTATTTCAGCCTGAAAATATTTTGCTAAAGTCGGCCAACAGTAGCGACATCAAAATCATCGATTTCGGATTAGCTAGAAAACTAGACCCCAATAAAACTGTTAAATTACTTTTTGGTACGCCAGAATTTTGTGCACCTGAAGTTGTCAATTTCCAACCTGTTGGACTAAGTACAGACATGTGGACCATTGGTGTTATCACTTATGTTTTGTAAGTTCTTTTTTAGTTCTCTAAGTTCTGTAAGCGATTAATTTTAATTGTCAGTATCTAAATCATTTCACCTCAAAATTTTCTTGTTGTCTGCTCAGCAAGAACAACAGTTGACTATCCTATTTGATACGGCTGCTGATCCCTGGTTTAGGCTCTCTGGACTTTCGCCATTTTTGGGTAACAATGACGAGGAAACGTTGGCCAACGTTTCGGCTGCTGACTGGGACTTTGATGATTCGTCTTGGGATGATGTTTCACCACTTGCCAAAGACTTTATCTGTCACTTGATGGTCAAAGATAAAGCGTAAGTATTGCTATTTTGGAAAAATGGGGAGAAATCAGCAAGTTTACCCCATAGGCAGTTATTGCAGTCATTGTTCTTTTTTCTCTTTTTTCTTTTTTTTTCCTCTAGAAAATCAACTCTTTTTTTCCTGTTTTTTAAATTGTGAAATACTGAGCAAAATACGTTTTAGAGATGACAGTTGAAAAGTTCTTTGCAGAATAGCTTCTGTGAATCTGTTTTTTGGCGTAATCAATATTACATGCTAGAATTAGTGAATTTTGATCTTAAAAAATAATTTCAGCAAACGGATGACAGTTGGCGAAGCTTTAAAACATCCTTGGATTACTGTAAGTGGTTTTTCAAAACTATTATTGGTTAAAATCTTGGTTTATTTTATGGTTGTCAAACTAAAAGCTTTATTCCTAAGTTTCGTTTATTTTCGTAACACAGTTACAACGTTTTTGTTTTGGCAGAATTTACATCAACGGTATTTTCATTTTTCCCCCTTTCGATTTTTTTGTCAATTTTAATTTGGAAACAGTTTTTTTTAGTTATTTTGTTTCTATTAATCCTTTATTAGTTTGCTGTTGTTGTTTTAAATAGGCTTTTTTTTACCGCTTTTATTATATCCTTGTTTTGAAGGGGCCACTCTTGTCTGCCTTTAACGACTTGTCCGAATTTGTGAAGGTTTGAAATTTAATGCTGTCCTTAACAGTCTTACTTCATAACCTTTTGTTCGCTTTCTTTTTCGCTTTTCTACTCCACGTTTTTCCTTTTCTTTTTATCTTCTTCTTTATTGGTAGAAAGCAAAATCTGTTATATTATCACTTGCCAGTATTCTTCTGCTTGCACTAATCACTGCGCACCAAAAAATTACTCAATTAATCGTTAATCTTGAATAGCTTCAATTAATCACAATTTTGTCTTGTTTTCAGTCTATTTTTTTTACAGTGTGAACTTTTTAGATTAATTGGTGTCATATTTTTCAAAAATAACCATTTTACCAAATCTACTGATCTTAAGTCACTTGTTTTCAAAATCAATTCTTTCTTGACGTCACATCTGATGCTCTTTAACCGTTTTTGGTCTATAAAATGTCAACTGCCAACTAGTAATTTGTTAACAAAATAACATATCGCGCCAATCAAATACTGCGGCTGTCAGATAATGATAGTAATAATTTTTCTTCACTAGTTCAAAGGCTTTTTTTACCTTTAAAGGAGTGTACACTTGCTAGACGAATCTAACAAATATGACATTTTTAGCAATCCCAGAAACCAGTGGAACGTGGACGTCTTCCGCTTAGGCAAAAACATGACTTCTTGTCCAAGAAACGCTGGAGTGATGATTTGCTACCTATGGGAAGGTTGGCTAAACGTGGCGCTATCTTCAGAAGGCTTTCTATGGATGGAGTCTTTGAGAGGGAGATAACATTTGGTAAGCATTTCAATGACATGACTTGCTTCTGCAGAAAAAAACTTTTTTGTTGGCTACAATTTTATCAAATTTCTGACCCGTCACGGTTACAAATGCATTTAAAACTAAAGTATACTAAAAAAAATTTTAAAGTCAAAAACAGTTGCCTCATCAAAGGATTTGCGAATTTACCAATTCAAATTTTTATAAAATTGTTTTACAAAACTTTTAAAACGTTTGTGCAATTAAGAAGTCGAATATGCTCCGAAAGTTCGGAAACAACTTGAGAACATAGTGGCGAAAGTTGGAGACTTGATAGCTACTCTCACATGTGATGTTGATGGAGTACCGACACCAAAAATTACTTGGTTAGTACTTTTTACTTGACTTGAATGGGGGACCAAGCAAAACTTGTTTGTGGCACTTCTTGAATAATTTTCAATTATCAATTACTTCTTCGTTCCAGGTTCAAAGATAATGAAAAGGTGCCTATCCGTGCAGAAAAATACGTGACGAAGTACAGTAACGGTATTGCTGAATTGTCTATAAGAAATATTATTGAGAAAGATGCTGGAGTTTACAAAATTTGCGCAACTAATGAAATTGGTTCAATCGAGAATGAAGCAACAGTGGTGGTTGAGGTACAATTATATTAAAAAATCTTCGAGCTCACTAATAAATAAACGACTACACTACAGAAAGCAAAAATAATTCTTTTGATCTGATAAATAAAATTATAGAAAGCTAAAAAGAAAAAGGAGAAAGCCGAGACTAAGGAAGAAACAAGTAGGCCAGAACAAATTTCTCCAAGTTTCATACATAGGCTATCAGACAGAACTGTGAAACTTGGCAGTCCAGCAATTCTAACTGTTAGAAGTAATTCGCTACCTGAACCTGAAGTTGAGTGGTTCAGAAATGGAGAACCTGTTGATTTGAACGCTCCAAAATATGCATTTAAGCATGATAAAGGTATAAAAATATCATAGCTTCAGAGGCTTTAAAATTACATGTAACGAGTCATTTGACAAGATTTTTTGTGTCATAGTTTAATTTTCGAATGCACTGCTGTTCAGATCGTTACGAGCTTGAAATTCTTTCCTGCGGGGATGAAGACAACGGTCAATGGAAGGCTGTTGGTAAAAATGAATTTGGAGTTTGCGAAAGTTCCTGTAAACTTACCGTCGAAATTCCAATGGATCTCAAAGCTCCTGAATTTACCGTCAGTTTACTCACACTTCTTTCCAGGCTTGGTCAACAAAACACACACTCTTTAACTATCTGTTATTCAACCTCAAATCGTAATTTTATTAGGCAACCTTAGGCATATTTAAGATTCCGCTAAAAGATATTAAATGCATGGAAATGGAGGTGCTGAAATTAGAAACTTGTGTCTCAGCCAACCCGACACCTGAAATAACATGGTATCGCAACAACGAAGAGCTTCCTCATGGCAGTCGCTACACAATGCTCTTTGATGATAAGGTAAGACCAAAATTCTGCTTCACAGTTGCTTGTCGTGTTGGGGACTGCAGGAAACTTTGATCTTTATTTGAATTTATTTAAAAGAGGCTTTGCATAAAAGCTGAATTCTGTTATAAGACACATGAGAGATTAAACTTAGTTAGGCTCTTTAGAGCAACTAATATTTTTTGATTTATGCAGCAATTTTTACAGGACACCTGAGGGATTAGGTCAGATAAATTTGGTATAACAATTGATTGAAGGTGTAGTTATGGATTTACAACATTTGTGATCGATAAATTTGGTGTGAGGCCATTGATTGATAAGAGATAGAAGAAAATTTTTTTTTAAGTCTATAATGTGACAAAACTTTAATTGACTGTTGGATGCCAGAACAGCCTCTTATTAAATTTAGGAACAAGTTTATTCTTTGCTTATTATGGATGCTTACGCAGAAGACAGTGGAAAATATCAATGTATTGCCAGAAATTCTGTTGGCAGTGCTGAGACTGTATGTAATATCACAATTCAAGGTTTGATTTTTTATATGAAAGACTATGTCAGATTGGTTTGAATATTTTATGCAGTACTAAAAATAACTTTTAATACCAACAGCAGTTGATTTGTAGAACCACAGCTACCACCGAAAGATGCATTTGATGATAAAATACCACCTCAGTTCAAAATGCTACTTCCAAATAGAACTGTTCCAGAAGGCTTTGAACTTACTCTGGTTTGCGCAGTTACAGGTACTGTAAATGAGTTACCTTTCAATTATTAATAACAGTATGAATAAATAGTTTGTATAGGACTACTGGAAAGTGTTTTAAAAGCTGCATTGGAGGATTGTTTCTTGATAAAATTAAGCTTTTTGGTGAGGTGCGATAAAAACAGAAGTATTTCACTGTGCAAATTTTTGACGGTTAACAAGGAATTCCTGAACAGTTTGACAAAGGATGCTCAGAATTTTGGAAGGATTGGATGCAATTATTTAAAATGAGCTTATACTTTATCAGAATTAAAATGGTAAACTTTATTCAAAAGCATATGGTGTAAAAATGATTTTTTAACTGCAAAGCTTACTGGTAGTTTTGCCTTTATAATCCCAATGTAGTTAGACAAAAAGTTACTGCAGGACTCTGTATAATTATCGGAAATCGTGACTTTTTTTTTGATTTTTCTGTGAAGTTAAAAGACTCTAAGCTGCTGATTTTTGCAACAATCTTTCTCAATTATTTTTTCAATGATCTTTGCTTATGTCATAGAATTTTTGCTCTTCATGGAGTTTTCTAAAATGGTGCAAATGTGCTCTTTGTCAATCTTTAAAAATTCTGAGGCTTTTTGGAAAAAAGCTGCAAAAATTGAAGAGAATGCACTTCTCTAATTTTGACTTAATTCTTATACTTCTTTCGTCTCTGTTTTGTTTTACGCTCCAGGTTTTTTGTTTGAGTTTTTACATTTAGGCCTCTAATTCCATCCTTTAACTGCTTTCTTATCATGCTTAACTTTGTCGCTTCTCGATTATCTTGCCTAAATAAGGTGGTCCAGAAAAGTTTTGACAAATCCTAGTCGTAGAATTTGTAGATTATATGACACTTTTGAGGGGCAGACATTTTTGAAGGTTACTTGAAAAATTTGTTTAAGCATTTGAATGGGTTTATGATTACTCAACTTTGTTAAATGTAAAGAATTATTTCTGATAACCATCGTTACAATGTTTACTAAAACTTTTACAGCATTTTATTAGGACGTGAGTTTCAAAATTTGTTATAGGATTTCTTGATGAAGATTTAAAGCGCTAAAAACAAGACTCTTCTTTTAACTGTACAATATTCAGAATCATAAAGATTATTTTCGGAACAAAAAAATGCCAAGTAATAGAAAAAAAATATTTTAACAGACTAATACTTAATTCTTAATCTCAGCAAAAAATTAAATCATATAGAGCTTTATTAAATATTATATAGGTTCGCCAAATCCATCGATCAAATGGCTGAAAAATGACGCTGAAATCAGTGCTGACGCATGTGAAACAAAGGTTCCAAAAATTTTATTAAAACTTATTAATTTACATTTGCTCTGTCAACATTTATGTATAGCAGTAGTCAAATATACCAATTAAATTTTTTCAGTATGAAAACGGTGTTTGTACGCTTACAATACCGTCAACAAAACTGGCTGATTTCGGAACTTACACTTGTACAGCAACTAACCCTTATGGTACCGCAAATTCAACTTGCACCGTCCAAATACAAGGTTACTTTAAGATTAAATTGTACTCAATTACACAAGAACATTTTATTTATAGAGTGCTGACAGTTTACATCAATTTTAGCTTGCGAAACCGTTGACTTAAAACCAAAATTCAAACAGCAGCTCATGGATGTATCTGCTATCGAAGGCTCTGAAATTGTTTTGGAGTGTGTGGTATATGGAAAACCAACTCCAACAATTACTTGGTACAAGGATGGGCTTAAACTTTTCCTGGAGAACAGGATGTTACAGTATACTGACAGAAAAGGTTATTATTTTATTTTGACAGCTATAAAGAGCTGTAGTCAGAATGCATGAAGTTCAGAATTAAAGCAATCTTTTCTGGAAGTAGACAAAAGGGTTGTCAAGATGAAAAATTATGGTGAATTTTATAATTCTTCAGTGTTTTATAATCAGTGATTTTTGACTGCATCATCTTTCAGGTGTTTCAAGGTTGAATATTATGAATGTTGTGAAGGACGACAGTGGAGAGTACTCGTGTGAAGCGGTTAACAAATTAGGGAAAGATTTCACTCATTGTACCGTTAAGATAGTCGGTAAAAAATTAATTTAGTTTAACCTAACATACAGTCTCTTTATTGGTACAATAGATGGTTTTTTGCAGCTAATTTTTTAAAAATAAATTTAAAATAGTAAACTGTTTTATATTCTCCGACTAAAATTTCGATTGCTGCTTTTATCAACTTTTTTAAATGTGGATTTTCGATGATGACGAATTAGTGAAGTTGTTTAGAAACTGGTCAAAATCGAGTTAGATTAGTGACTCCAGAACCGTCATCGCGAAGCTCTTCACCGTCGATGAAAGAAGTGGAAGAGTTGAGGGCGCCTGTCATTACTCGCCCTTTGAATGATGCGACCGTTTATGAAGGTAATTTGCAGTAAGCTTGTGGTTTGCTCTCTTTAACAGTAAAGTTGTGCTGCATCAGTGTGAATTATCGATGATTAAGATGTATGGCTAAATTGTTAACTTTTGTAATCAGTACTAAACTTTCTTTCTTTTTTAGGTAATCGTGAGTTATTCGAGGTAGAAGTAAGTGCTAATCCGAAGCCCTACGTTGAATGGTATCATGATGGTAAATTGGTTGCTGAAAATCGAACTCTGCGGACATACTTCGATGGCCGCATAGCCTTCCTGAAACTTTATGAAGTCCAAGAAGAACATCAAGGACAGTATCTCTGCAAAGTGACGAACAAACTTGGTGCTGCTGAAACCAGATGTACCCTCGTCGTCTCGCGTATGGTTTTTACGATTGCATACGTTGGATTTTTTTCGGTTACTTTTATACTAAAAATTAAGGGTTTTAGCTCGTCCTGGAATTGACGATCAGATTCCAAATATGCCGAAATTTGTGCAGAAGTTGCAGGATGTGGTTGTTAAAAAGGAAGATGAAACGGTTACACTGTCTTGCCAAGTAAGATGTTTGTTAAATTTTCAAGAAATATGTTATTTATTTACATTATTTTTTATGTGAGAATAATTTGATGCGTCAAAGATTGACGATCCACTAATCGTTTTTAGGTACACGGGACACCGAAGCCGGATGTCCAGTGGCTGTTCAACGGTAGAGCAATTCATAACGACTCCAATATTCGTATTCGGGCGTTCGACGACAACGTCTGCACGCTTCAGATTTCTCGCGTTGGAACTGATTGCTGCGGTGTTTACACTGCTGTTGCAAATAATGTCTATGGTAGTGCTCATTCCAGTGCTGAAGTTTCATTTGCACAACAGGGTAACTTATACTGAGTAGTCGTCTCAGAACCTCTTTGGCAGTTTTTAAAACTCATCTGTATACTAAAGAAATTTTTTCAGAAGAAACACCAGAAGTTTCAAAACCAAACTTTGTTGTCGAACCACCTCCAAAATTAGTTGTTGAAGAAGGTCAAACGCTTTGTATCACATGTGACATAGCTGGCAGACCAGAGCCTGAAGGTACTAGTAAAATCACTGTATATTTGTCAGTGATTTTTTGTAAGAAGTTGTAGTTCAACGTGCTTTTTCAGTGGCATGGTTGAGGAAAAATGAAGCGATCAAGAATAAGAAAGTGATAATTAAAAAGAGCGGTTTGACCCACCAGTTGATAATTGGAGCAGTCAGAATTGAAGATGAGGGAAAATATATCGTAATAGCGAAAAATGAACGTGGTGAAGTTCAGAAGACAACTGACGTTAGGGTGAATGTGAAAAGGTAGATCGAAAGTTCTCAAAGACTTATACTTTATCTTAAGAGCGCCTTTTACCCAGTGTTTTTAAAAATTTCTCTCATGTTAATGAATTTCTCGTGAATGAATGTCATTTTTTCGTTATCTGTTGTAAAAAACGATTTATGTGTAGTATCGACTGACTGACAAGGTTTAATTTGGCTTTTAAGCGACTATTTGTTTACAGTTTTAAATAAGTTCCAAAGAAGGTTGAGACATTAAACTTGAGTACCAAATTAACTTTTTCATTACACCAGACTTTATGTTACCACTGCATCTTTGTTAATGCTCTTCAATTTCAGTACAAGGGAAGAGGTCAAGACAGCTGCTAAGAGGGACCGCTTACCAAATGCGCCAGGTGGGACCTTAACAGCTAAGAATGTTGGAACAAACAGTCTAGCTCTGGAATGGGAGGCAGTTTCGGAAGATGGTGGCAGTCAGATCGAGGGATATACAGTTGAACAACGAAGGTAATCCTTCTTAGACGGCATAAAAAAAGTCCAGTTCTGCAAATTTTCCAAAACACTATTTAAGAAAATATTCAGGGACACTATTTAAGAAAATATTCAGGGAACTCAACAACAATTTACATCGACGGTCTTTAAGCGTGGATTGTCAAAAAAATAAATTACGATACTTCACATGATTATGACTAAGACTATTATAATTAATTTTCATTAAAAGGAATTTTAAAAAAAATTCAAAAAAGCGAGTTTTTAATAGGCGGCTACATAGGGGTGAAACACATACATTTGAACTTCAAAACAAAGGTTTCCATATAGAAGGTTGTATGGTAATTGAAAATGACTTTTTAACTGTGAAGCTAGTATTAGTTCTGTTTTTTAACTAAGTTTAAAGATGAAGATTAGTCTTTTTTAAAACTGACTGTAGCTAATATGCAAAATAGAGTCTGAAAATAAACTCTAACTTTTTAAGAATGATTGAGGTAATACTTTTCGAGTGGCAAATTTTCTAGATCCAATTCACGCTATTTTCAGTCCTGATGAACAGTCCTGGGTGGAGGTTGCTTCATGCACCGAAACAACATGTGATATTCGTGATTTGCTGCCAAATACCGAATACTACTACAGAGTTGCAGCAAAGAACAAGGTTTTTGAGATAAATTTACTTTTTGAAACAATTTAAAAAGTGAGCAGAAAGATCTAGTTTCTAATATATTTAAAAAATTTAGGTTGGCTTGGGAGAGTACTTGACAATGCAGTCTCCTGTAAAAACTCTTTCTGAAGGATTAAAACCCAGTTTTGAAGAAAATTTGCCAGCGTCGCTAGTAATATCCGAGAGTGAAATACTGGAAATTAAAGCATCCTATGGCGGCAAGCCAAAGCCAAGCGTTAAATGGTATCGTAATGGTATAGAAATCAATAAAGACAACAAGAGAGTTAGTATTGTTTCAAAAGATGGAGTCTCTACGCTGGTGATCAGAAACACTAAGGCTGGACTTGACGATGGTCTTTATTCATGCCACATTAAAAATGAAGATGGTTATGCAATTGAAGAAACAGCAGTCACGGTGATTTCTACAGAGGTATCTTACCTGCCCTATGATAAGCCTCACTGTTGATAAGTTTTTAAAAAACTGTCTGATCAGTGTGAAAGTGTTGTCGTTTTTCTACTTACAATGAATTTGAAAAATGTTTTAGATTTCTGAGCAGGTGGTAGTCGATGAAACCGAGGCTGTAAGTGGAATTCCGCAAATTGTAAAACCGTTGTCAAACGTTACTGTTGCAAGTAAACAGCAGTTTGTGTTAACTTGTAAAATTTCCGGAGCTACAAAATGCCAAGCAACGTGGTACAGAAATGAAGCCACAATTCTGTAAGCTGGTTTTATACAATTTTCCTCGCTTTTTTTAAAATTTGGAAGTTTAATTTCACTTTTTAATCGTTTTAATTTAAGGGAATCTGGAAGGTTCCAGCTAGACTCTGCAGAAAGTGGAACCTATAAATTGATATGTCACAGTGCACAACCAGATGATACGGCAATCTACTCCTGTTTGATCACAAACTCTGTCGGTGTTGCGAAGTCGTCTTGCGAGGTGTGCGAGCGTAATTTTTGATTGCTAATTGATTTGCTGTCAGTTAAAAAGTGTGAATTCTTTTTTTGAACATTTAATCAGTTGCTGTAACAAAAGGATTTAGGTAACCGTTGTGGACCGTGGAGCACAGAAAGCTCCGGTATTTGAAAAAACACTTACTGATAGTACGGTAATCGCAGGTACCAGCGTCACCTTAAAATGTCGAGTAACAGGAGATCCTGAACCACAGGTGACGTAAATATTTTTAACTTGCACAGCTTCTTGTTAAAAAAATATGGACTGTACATTCATTTCTCATTTAAATAGAAATGAAATAATGGAACGAAATCAATGACTTGCTTTAATACTGTTAACAGCAGCGTATGATAAATTTTGTTAGTAACCATGCAGAACTGTCTATCATTATTCATAAATCCTTATTTTTGTCTTTTTGTCTTTGTCAGCAGTTTTTCCTGAAGTTAAAAATATCTGTTTTTGGCTCAACTGTCTCTTCGGTTAAATCAGAATCTTTGCAGGTAGTGTGGATGAAAGATGGAAAACGAGTATCAACCAGCCGTAGAGTAGCATTGAGGTTCACTGAAGATGGATATTGCTCTTTAGATATTTCTAATGTAACCAGTACGGATACCGGTATTTATCTGGTAAGTTTTCATGACAAACTATAGTTAAGAAAGATTTTCACCTGTTATGTCTTATCATTTTCCTTAGGTCGTGACTCTTTAATGAACATGTATAGAAATAAATGAAGTTTATTTAGGTTTTGAGTCTTACAAATACATTTTTTTCTCATAAATAGTTTTACAGTTTTGAATAATTAATTCATTACTCGTTTTAGTGTTCTGCAAAGAATGCTATTGGAGTAGACTGCACTCAAGCGATGTTGACTGTCGCTAACGAAGCTGGACCTGATAGGCATTTGGTTACTGCTGAACCTAAAGAACAGCGATACAGCAAACCGGAATTTACCAGAGTTCCAGCAGCGACAATTGAGAGTAGTGAGGGGACTACTGTAAGTAATGTGTTACCTTTGCTACTGAAAGCTTATTAATTTCATCATCTCTGGTGCGCAGTAAACACAAAAGTCTTAGAATTCTGAAGCTCTTTTGAGCATATAATAAATTGCTTTAGGGAGTAAAATTAATTGCTCGCGCAGTCGGTAACCCGGTGCCACTGATAACGTGGAAGAAAGACGGAAAAGAGGTAAGCTGTTACCGCTGTGATTTGTAATTTTGTTATTGACTTGTTTTGCATTAAACAAGGCGTTTTGCAGATAACAAAAGGAAATCGTCTGTATGAGACACGTTTGGTTGGTAACGGTGAAGTGGTACTGGTTATTTCATACGTTACTATCAAGACTGCTGGCGTTTTTGAATGTTGCGCAACGAATTCTGAAGGAACGGTGTCTTCAGAAAGCAATTTCATTGTTCATTGTAGGTTAACACAATGCTTTGTTCACTTCTGCTTTACAACCTACCGTAATACTGTCGATCTTACTACTTGAACTTCAATAAATTCAGCTCGCACTCACAAGCATCCAACAAAAGAGCCACCAAGGTTTTCCATCGAATTGGTTGACAGAGGAGTTGCTCTTGGGCAGCCAGCCTGCTTGAAATGTGCTGTCCAAGGAGTACCCGAACCACAAGTTCAGGTAATAAGCGTAGTTGATATGTTGAGTCATTTAGTACTTCTTCACCAGCCGTTAATGCATCTTTTTTAATGATAGGTGTTGATTATAAACCTTTGACATAACTTCGTAGTGCTTTACAGTTATTTATTCACTGTAGGTTACTCTAGTAAGTGAAATATTTTTTTGGTGGTGCAAAGGTAACAGAATCACCTAAGGGTTAAAACATTGAAGAAAATGTATTAATATCAACTAGTGATGCCACAATACAAAGGTTTCCAATTTACCACTAAAGCGGCTTACCGAGCTACAACAGAATAAGTTTGGGGGTTTTCAAAGTGTCATCACTTACCTCACTATTTAAATTTTTTTTAAAAAACCTGTATGTTGTTGCGTTATCTGTTGCCATATTTAGTGGTTTTTCGTTGACGATTCACGGAAGAGTGCTCAAATAAAAGGCGTGCTTGGTTCTGCATGGATGGAGTATCGTCGTGGCGAAATTTGCGAGCTAAAAACTGATGCTGTTGTAAGTACCCAACAGGGAACTTACCAGTGCGTTGCTGTTAATGATCATGGCAGAGCGATGTCACAGTGCTATCTTTTGGTCGGAAGTAAGTTTAAAATTGCCACTATAATTTGCTTTCACGTATATAAAAAAATCTCGTCTTTCTTATAAGATAAAATTTTTTAGACCCTTCGGACGAACCGGCAGGTCCGCCTAGATTTCTTAGATGTCTGCGAGACATTTGGTGCCCCCTTGGAAGTGAGGTTGTTTTTGAAGTAGAAGTAGAGGGACACCCACTTCCTGAGCTGTTATGGTATCATTTGGATGAGAAGGTCGTTGAAGATAGAAATACAAAGGTTATTTTTTCTTTTGCTTTGCGAGAAGAATATCTTTAAAGTGGTTTCTTCCCTCAAAACCACTGCCAGCTCTACGGTTCTGTGTATCTCAGTTTTAGTCGAATTTCGGCACTCCAGTAAAACTGTCACTTTTTAATTTTGTTACAGATTTCTTACACATCACCATCAAGGTGCGAGTTAGTGATTTCTAATGTCGGTTTACGGCACCTTGGTAATTATTCCGTGCAAGCATCTAATGTTCATGGCATTCTGGTTACTACCGCAGCACTAAATGTTAGCACAGATAACAAACTTGCTGAACCGCCCATATTCTTGCAAGGTTAGTCTTAAGTGCTATTTAGAAAATGTGGGATTGAAAAACTTTTTTTCTGAACTAGGCATTCGCTTGTTTTAGTTGAGGGCCAAATGCAAGATGTACTATAATTTAACACGGTTTTAAATTCACTTTACGCGTGTGATGAAATATTTTCAGATCTGCAACAGCAACGACTCGCTGTTATGTATGACGAAACTGGTGCACTACCAGAACGAGGATCTATGGGATTAATTCCTGAAACTGTAAATTTAAACTTTCATAAAGCTTCTTCTTTCAAGCAGAGCAAATCTGATGCTTTCTTCTAGTTTTCTTCTTGTAGTAAAACTATTTTTTTAGTCAGATCAAGCGATTTAAGACCATTCTTTTGTAGATGAAATCTGATAGAGAGAAGCGTGCTCAGAGGAATGAAATAAAAGTAAGGGGTGCTGCACCACGATTCGTCAGAGGTCTTGAAGACTTGGAATTCCATGAAGGCGATCTTGCAGCTTTAGCCGGAAAACTGTCAAAAAGTCAGTGGGGTTGCTTTCCTCAGATTCTTCTGTTCTTTTCATTTTAAGAAAGAATCGGAGCTTTTGAGAGAAATTTTTTTGTGGCATTGTTT